CCTTTGACCTGCTTTCACGTTTCTGAGCTCTGACGAGATACCTTTTCACAATGCTTTACTTTTTCAAGGCCCGTGCTGCTTTATTTTTACAAGGCCTGAGGCCTATATCGGGTAAAGGCCCTTTTAGTCAGGTCAATCATCGGATCTTAGCTATTAACTCTCATCCAGGACAGGTAAGTGTGTGCAATGCCTGCGAAGATCATCGAAGTTGAAGACTAATGGAGCAAACGAAGAGGCGACCTCGGGAAAATGACCAAGATGGGGAGTGAGACAGCTACCAGGTGACAGAGGGCCTGTCCACACAGCAAGTATAGAAAGAAAACAAAAGAATAGAAAACCTGGGGGAGTACATGGGTGGAGAGTACACGAGACTTGCTGAGTACAATGATGGAGAGCATACGAGACTTTTCAAGCGTAGACAAACTCACCCCATGTGCTTGCCAGCTCCTGCATTCTTGTTCCATGCTCCCAACATGGATTGCATAACCATTAGAGGAATGGAATCTGGGTCCGTCCAAGCGGCTCCCTTCACAGCAACTGCGAAATGGCAAAGAGGCATATCATCATCTCGGATCCGCACCTGCACATGACGGTGATGAAGTCTGTTGGGTCTTACCTCAAGTGAACATGATGACGAATGTGAATTGAAAAGGAAATTAGGGAGACTGGTGTGCTCCGCCGTCCACGACAATGTAGCCGCAGTTGTTCTTATGCGTTGCGGGCCACCATTGTACACAGCAGGGATAAAAGATACCTTAAAACCAGGAGCACATCCGGAAAAGGAGATTGAGCCTCTCTTGAAACCACCAATTCATTTTATCAACCGTCCATGGCCTTCGAATTTTTAAGAGGCTCAATTTGCTTTTCCAGATGCACTCACTGGTGGTTTAACAGGACAAAAAAGGTCTGAAAGACACTATCAACGAGGAAGAACCACTGTTTAAAAGATACCTTAACAGGAAAAAAAAGGTCTGAAAGACACTATCAACCAAGGATAAAAAAAATATGCTGGAGAGAGTAGAAAGAATAGTATTGACAAACAGTTGCCACACTCCTTTCAGCACAAGGACGAAGTGGATGGCTTCTGAAGCTTTGCATTCCTAGCCCACATGTACAATGAGGGAGGACTTGGGCAGAGTAGCGATACAGGAGTTCAGATAGATACACCCTTCCTGCCATAGAAATTGAAAATGGCAGTGCAAGGATTGCAAGAGGAATGAACATGATTTTCGTACTCTTCCGTGAGGTGTCCACTTCAGCGCAGGATCCGTACACGTTATGAGTGCCACCACACTCGAGAAGCGGGTGACCATAGGGTGATCACAAAAGCCAATGGCGTGAAAAGAAAAAAAAAAACGTTAGCCAGCTGCTCCATGGTGCTGATTCGAGGCAGTTGGTTCTCAGAGTTGTTCAAGGCATAGAGGAAGAGTATGGTCTTTGGAGCAAATGAAGAAAAATAGAGAAGGACAGACGAACGCTGCATAAGCTAACATCTAATAAAATACTACACATGGTAAGAGTTTAATCTCGGAAAACAGTCAGGTCAAAAAGCAAAACGGGAAAGACAAACTCATCCCTGAAAGGAAGAGTCATGACCGCCCTCTGGCCACCATTGTGCGTACTTTTTATTCAATTTGATTAATGAGTACCTACTATCTAGTCTAAAAGGGAAAATCGCAACGGCCTGTAATGAAAACCGAATTCCGCAAACAACACATGAGGGCAAAGGGGCTGTATGTAATCTCTTGTGGTGCGACTTGCATGGCGCTGTATCCATCCAGAATTGGACAAGACAGAAGTGAAGCTTTGTTTCAAGGCAATTTACTGGAGAGAGAGAGAGAGAGAGAGAGAGAGAGAGAGAGAGAGAGAGAGAGAGAGAGAGAGAGAGAGAGAGAGAGAGAGAGAGAGAGAGAGAGNGAGAGAGAGAGAGAGAGAGAGAGAGAGAGAGAGAGAGAGAGAGAGAGAGAGAGAAAGAGAGAGAGAGAGAGAGAGAGAGGAGATTTGGTAGTGTCAGGCCTACTATAGGACAGTTCAATGTCAGGCCGCTCGTACTATACCAAAGTGGCTACCGTGCTATATTCGATCCGGGACTGCTCAAAATCAGATGGGAAAGTAGAATGGGCCTTTCTCTCACCTTTAAGAAAAAGCTTAAAACGGCAGGACGCATCCAGCACACATGAAGGGCATATGCTGCGGTGCTCCAGTAAATGTGATGATGATGTCTTAATGAAATCTTGCTGAGTCTGCTAGTGCTCAAAAACATTTTTATTGAACAGGTATTGGCCAAGATACTAGATGTACAGCCAGTTTAAGCTCGTCAGCGGGTCCCAGAATAACAGGGGCGCAACAAGGTCTGCCTGGAAGATTAAATGGGACCTGGAAATACTATTGGGTGTGTGCCTTGACTGTGAATAGGAGCCGACAATTAGCCGTCTCGCCAAGCCTCCCCCGTGATGAGGCTGACGTCAAGAGCCAAAACGCAAACTGCAGATGCCAAGATCATGGTCGAACGGGTTTTAGTATCGCTGCTTAGCTTTCGACCGCATGAAGCTAAGATTTTCGCTTCCTTGTTTCACTTGAGATGTGAGCATGAATATGTTGATGTCCACCTTACTTGTACTTTGGATCTTCCCATTGACATCTGTTGCACAGCTTCTTTCTCCAATCCACTCCGCTGGACATGCGAGCCCCAGAGAGGAATTACACTGTGACAATCCTCACAACCTATGTCTGCAAAGACATACTGTTCACAATACAGACACAGACGATTCCTATCGTTCCCATTCATAGCAGGGAGGCTTCTATTCCATGTCAGCGCCTTGCATGGAGACAGATGTAACCCAGCCGTGTCAGCACAGTACACAAGTCCTCCACATCCGCCCTCTGTCCTTTTTTCCACCTCTTCAGTATCACTGGCATCTCTCTCCTCCATTGTCCTTCTGATGCTTCTCCTCCTTCCCCTCTTGTCGTACTCATCCCCCATGCCCCTTGTCACTCCTCTTGCTTGTCCTCCTCAATCTCAACCCCATCCTCGCCATCCACTTTGTCCTTGTGCTCTGGCTCCTAGCGCCCCTCATTGTTTGTTCCATGCCTGACATGGGTCTGCCGCAGGTCTTATTATGCATAGCCATTACACACCGTACGACCACAACCACCTATCAAACGTTTCTCTTTCCCACGAACGAAATGTGGGACTCCTGGACCTTATCAAGGATCAAAGAGAGATGGTAATGCGGAGTCCTAAATCTTAATTAGAGGTCCAATTTTTTTTATGGGAATACGACCAGGTAAGATTTACTTGCAGTGGCGTATGCTATTGAAATCGCACATACAGTTTGGAGGAGCAGGGAACGGATCGAAAAAAGCTAAAATATTCCTCTCCAACCACAAGTGGTTAACAGGGACACCGACTGAGAAGCGCATTTGGTTTGCCCTGTTCTATTTTTGGTCAAGGTCTGTGTGCGCCAAGTTTGGTGTTTGTTCGGGTCTTGGAGATGACTGTTTTCGCAAGCCCTGACAATCCTGAAAATCAAGCAAAACTAGAAAGACTTCAAAAGAACGAGTTTTGCATGAAAACACATTTTTGGCTTGGGGTTTTAGGCTCCTTTGGTCCTGTTTTTATTCCTACTTTTTCACAACTATTTTACTTGGTGTCCACTCTGTCGACTGGTGACAAGTTTGGTTTAAAAGGTGTGAGAAATTTGTTATAAAGACACTTAAAAGGTGTGAGAAATTTGTTATAAAGACCCTTAAAAGGCGTGAGAAATTTGTTATCAAGACCCTTAAAAGGTATGAGAAATTTGTTATAAATATCCTTAAAAGGTGTGAGAAATTTGTTATAAAGACCCTGAAAATTCTGGCCTCTGTTAACCGCTTCTCACTCCACTGTTGACATTCAATATAATAACGGATCACAGCTGTTCATCACTGCTTTACTCCATCTGGCATAAATGCTGAGGAGAAGAGGAGGTACTTTTCCAGCTCTGGCAGAGAGCTCGCAGGCTTTATGAAGCATGCCTTATCCAAATTTAGACACAGCCCCACCGAAAGGAGCCATTCTTTTTTCAATTTTGGAGGCAGCAACGGGTGCTTGCACACATGCACCCACCCCATTTCCAGCAACAAGCCCAGAAATTCACTGCGCAAATATGGAAGGCACACATTATCGCAACCAGTTCACAATTTTGCACACACCTCTGAGCCCGTGAAGACAGCTGGGTCCTTTACAATCAGATCCGCTGCCGTTGTCTTGTCCTCCGAAAGAGACTTGAAGGAGTTCTTTACAAGCTCAACAAGCTGCTCGTGTTCCACGCCGCCTGATCCTGCTATGACCTTCCATTCACAACACCACCAGAGAAGCAAGCACACAGCGCAGCAGACACTCACACTAAGACTCCCCACACCGCTTCATGAAAACACAGCAAAAAAATACATGAAATTACAACATTTCAACATCCCACGCATGCTGTACGGTAATATATATAATGACCGGGCATTCTATTCGGAAGAAGATGGTGGTCCACCACGCATGCTGTACAATTGCTTCACACCATCTACCACCCCCAATCCTGCTAAAGCTGATTCTTTGTTTCACCACGTCAAAGCACAGCTGAGCAGTGACACCATTTCAACTACCTCCCTGCACTGGTCCAACCTGCTAGACCTGTTTCAGCTATAAGCCTTTCCCGGGCTTCCGAATCTTGCCCGCGGTCACAGAAAGAGCGAAGGGTGCACAGCAACCGGAAGAGTTAAGACAGGAGAGGCTTCAACAACAAGAGGGGCTGCACTGCAAAGGCAAGCATGCCAAATAGTTCTGTCCTTGAACCAATCTCCTCCCCCC